GATGGCATCCAGAATGTATTTCTGGTGCACAAAAAAGCTGCTGGGACAGACTGTGTTTCCATTTCAGATCGGAGTGACCGCCGCCACGTCAGTTTCCCCGTATTATTAGTACTTTGTATACGTAATAATAGGCATGGACAGGGAAATCCAGCTGGAACTTAAAGCCCCAATTTCTGCACACTAGGATGTATAAATGTTTCCACAACAATGTTCTAGCACTATTTCATACAGCTTACTATGTGTTAGCCAACCTTTCACATGAACGATGCACACTCTAGCTAATGAAGGATTAATCTTATTTTTGGACAAATCTACATCTGGATGGAAAGATCTTAACTCTGAGAATTTTATTTTATTTTTTTCCATTTTAATGCACAAAATAAGGATGTTTTAATGCTTAGAAACTGTTCTAACCTTATTGTTTCTTTAGGTTTGAGAAGAGTTGGTTTCTACTCCATAAACGAACTAAAGATTGTGCTCAGGTTGCAGAGGTATGGATCATTGTTCTTTTGCCTTGATGACCTAAATTCGTAAATTTAAAATTTTAAGAACTTGCTTTTCTGTTGGAGATTCTTAGATTCCAAAGGTTTGTATGTTAAGCAGGAAATGATTGTAAGAAGTGGTCTCTCACTGCAAGTCAGAATTTATAGAGTAGACTGCAAACAAAGAATAGAGAGCAACAAAGCAAAGGGTTGACACACAGATTTATATACTGTAGATTTACATCAATAAATATAAAATCATATAAATATTAAAAGAAAACTTAAAAATGAGAGACTGTACAGGATAGGAGAGTTAAAATCATAAGACAAAATAATACAATAAAAACATCTTTTAGTTTTAACAGAATTTATTCCAGTCATTTTTACCTTTATCACTGATATAAGCATAAATTGCAAAGGATCATCTAGTTTTTTTTTTTTTTTTTTGGCCTGACCACTGCTCTGATGAACAGCAATGGCTGCAATCTTAGGTTTTCTCCTGTATTTATCTCACTGCTTCGCCCTCTGGGACAGCTCTCTGGATCTCTAGTGTGCATCAGTTGCACGGCATCGAAACTAAATCCTAATAAGGTAACAGAAAATGGTGGAAGGAAATTCACAGGTCATCTTTGACCCGCACAGTTTAGTGGTTAGAGCATTACGCTTGGATCCCAGAGGTTCTGAGTTCGAGCCCCACTCCCACAGACTGCCACTCTGGGTCCCTAAACAAGACCCTTAACCCCACCCTGCTCCCCGGGTGCCTCACAATGGCAGCCCACTGCTCCCCAAGGGGATGGGTTAAATGCAGAGAGTGGATTTTGTTGCTTTGTACTTGTGACAGTGGAATGACAATAAAGTTGAATTCTATTCTAACAGTTAAGGCGGAATTTCACATTCCTTCTAACATATAACAGAACACACAGGTTACATTATCTATGTCTATCTCTACATTGATGAAAGGGTTCCCAGGGGTCCTTAAAAAGTCTTAAAAAGTCTTGAATTTAACTGGCCTTATGCTGTAGGAACCCTGGATGAGCCT